ATATATATTATATATTTATACTTATACTATATATATATATATATATATATATATAACAGTGAAAACAGTGCTGCAGGAAAATTCACATGTTTTGTTCAGAACTAGTGGTTTATATTTATTTATAACAGAATTGATAAACAGGAAACATAATTTAACTTCGCCAGGTTTTAGCTCACCCTGGTAAGTTCTTTTGTAGGCTACCCCGTCAGAGAGTGGGAGGCTTTTGGGCTGAGTAGGGATGCTATAGATTTAATATGATGTTTATACACATTTATTGGGTAAACATCATGCTGAAAAACACAAAAACGGCACGAAACTCCTGTGCGCTACGAGAAAATTTGATGAAATGTGTCACCAAATATGGACGCCGTCCATTTTCAACTGGATGTGGTCCCAGAGAATCGTCAAGCTTTCAGTGACAAACCAGTTGAGTGATTCCACAAGGACATTTCCTCAATGCAAAAGCGTATCAACGCACGTGGTCCTTTTTCTTCTTAGAACATTTTTGATGGATGATCCAGAGAGACACTTCAGATTTTTTCCACAAGCGACAGGCCACGAGACGGCGTGCATATTAATTTTCTATTTCCTTTGGTCTCGGCTAGCTATATGAACTTGCCACACACTCTTGTCGGCTGCCATCTATCGACGCTCAAAGTACATTTTTTTTTAAAAAGTTTTATTTTTTTGTTTTGCGTAATAATAGAACGGAAATTTTATTTTATGAATATTAAATAACATAAAAACTTCATTAAAATTTCCATTTTATTTAAAAAAATTTTCAGCACAAGTTAATTAAAGAAAAAAATTGGATCAGTTTTTGAGAAAATATTGAAAATGTCTGAAGAGCTTCATGTAAAGTGCCCCCCATATTTTGAAGAATGATTTTTTTTTAAATATCAAAGCTTCGACTCGGGCCAGATAGAGAGGGGTTTCTTCAATTTGGATAAAATCCAGCCGAACAGACGGACGGACAGACAACAATTAATTTTTTCGGTATCAAGGACCCACGAGACAGGGAGTCTGGTTACAGCACGTGTTGGAGCATTTTTTCCGTTAAGTTAGAAACTGGATTTATTCACTTTTTCGTTATCAGGTCCAGAAATTTATTTTTTCTACCGAAAACCCGCCGTTTTTTCGCGCAGCAATACATAATTTCCCCGATACTACATATATTACTCCGTATATACGTATGTACACGGGAAAGTAAAAAGGACGAAAAAAATGTTCTCGATTAAACTAAACTGCTAACAAAACGTAATTTCCTGAACATAATAAATGATTGTTAACCGCAATATCTTATTCCTGAATTTCTTCCTCAAAACAGGACCAAGAAGTTTTATACTGAACAATCTGCACAACTCCAGAGAGAGAGAGAATGAAGAATTATGGAGATGCACATCAATTCTAATTAAAAGGTTTTAGCAAGAACGAGGGAAGAACAACAAAAACAGATGTTTGTAACTACATTATAAGGATATTTGTATTTATCCTAGCGTTTTAATTCTTGTAGATTGCAATTCACTGTAAAATAATGTATTGGAAAAGTACACGTGGGCGTTTGACTTACTTCCGTGTCCAGGGACTGGAATATAGAAAATGTATTTCTTGGGCCACAATCCATTTCAAAGGCAGCAACACCAAAATCAACACCTGAGCAAATTAATGGTCCTCCAGTGTCATCCTGATAAAACATACACATTGTGATGTAGAACAGTGACATATTGGCGGGATATATGCGGTAAGTATAAATACGAGTATTTTCTCGGTAGAAAGGTTACATCCGATTCAAATTCTCGGCAACTTCCTTCAAACACAGTTATCCATGACAACTGCTTGCATTCAATTTTGATTATATTATGTGACTTGTAACCACTTTACTAGTCACTGATCATACAAATATGTAGAGGTTTATCAATAAACACATACCAGACAAATGTCCTTATTTCTTGTGGAGGCACATATCATTCCGGTTGTGCATCTAGGCTTTTTACTTTCTTCTTCTTCATTATTGCAATCAGACGGATCGAGAACTTTTAGAACCACCTTTTGTAGGACTCGAGCCTACACAAAAAGAGAATATTCGGATTCTTTACTGTTATAAATATTGCTAGGTCTTCGATAGCTAGGTCGAATTCAACCTCTATCTGAAGCAAACGTCAATAGACCAGCCGTTATGATTGGTACTTTTCCGTGTGTTTTTTTCGATCAACTAAAGGCGATTGACAGAGCTGTATACTAAGAAATGGACCATGGACCGCGCATGATCTCCTTGTCTCTTCACTCCTTACTTACACCCATACTCACATGCACTACACTACCACGCATGTCCGGCACGCATTTGGGGACTTGGAGCTTGTCACGGCTGGGGCGGCGCCCCTTTGGCTCGTTGAAGAAAAACATAGACTCACTAGCGGGTACGTGGGCGCCGGATCGCATCAACCAGCGGAAGACAACTGCTCGCCCATTCAATATATAGACCTCCCCTTTCCGTACAAATGACCTTAGCAGTTGACGCGTCGGAAAGCACTATTCAATCAATGAATCTAGAATATGCAAACAATCAGATGAAATATGTTTTGCAATATTCTAAAACAAGTAGCATTTATTGCAAAAGTTAAAAAGTTTGGGAGAGTAGGTGAAAGTTATACTGCCAAGACTGAAGAATATTCTCAACAAGAAAAAAACAAAATTTGAACGTTAAGTTAAAAATATGACGAGAGATTTGGAGTCCATTTCAAGAGAGGCAAAAGTAAAATCTAAAAAATCTAGTGACACGATATAGCAAAAGATAAAGCCAAAAATAAGATGATTTGACTATGTGGACAGGAAAGAGATTACATTAGGAAATTTTGGGGTGAGGCTCTTAAAGTAATAGAAGGATTTCATATATACGAGAAAATTTATATAAGTACATAAACGTGATTGTAGAGAGATGTGGTCAACAAATCCACACACATTTTGAAGAAATAAGCTCTCTGCCACCTTGAATGAAAATAAATCATTCATTAAAACAACTACATTTTCATTTTCAAACACACATTTATTCCCTGAAAGCAATGAAACAGCCGGACCAACATTGGAGCCCGGTAATTAATCATCAAGTTAAAAATGATTTAGATTACCTCAAACAGATTAAAAACCAAAAGGAAGTAAACCAGAAAATATGACAACAATAAATGAATTTAAAAAAATGAACAAGTGAAGAAGATATATTTTAAAAAATGTAAGTAAACAAATCACCATTAAAATAAATTAGCTAAAGAATAAACAGAAAGACGAGTTTATGACAACACAAGTAATTGTACTATCTGTGGAAGGAAACATTCAAGTTTTAAACGTGCAATTGTTAAAATAACCCTTGGAAGAAAGAAATACACAAGGAGAAGTGACATTACTTTAATTGCAAGAAATAGAACATATAATTTTTCTCAAAAATGGTCCCATTTTTTAAAATCAAACTTTGTCTTCTAATAGCGTGAAGTATTCTTAAGAGAATGGTGTAGGTCTTGTGGTAATTTATTTTTTTTGTAATAGAAACGCGCTGTCAAGTTACATTGTAGTCGAACAATAACCATTTTCTCTTGTAAGTTAATTTGCGCAAAAATTATAAAACCAATCTTCGCCTCATGAATATCTTCATCTGATACTAGATACTTTTTGGGAGTTTGCCCTTTTTTACTTGATTGATTGTAAGTTATTCCGGTCACGTCAACTGACAGGATCATTTGTCCGTAAGTGTAGTGCATGTTTTGTGAGGTGACGGTTGTCTCCCATCGCTGTATGGCCAGATACGACGACGATCTACTGTCGGCTAGCAGGGTTTTCCCAGCCAGATATCTTTCCCCAGCGGGGCTTCGCCCCAGCCGGGACATCCTCTAAGCTCCCGGTCGGTCTCCCAGCATCATGCTAGTATAGTGCGTGTGAGTGTAAGAGTGTAAGAGGAGAGAATAAGACAAGGAAGAGGTAGGAAAGATCGCGCGCGGTCCATGGCCCATTTGTTAAGGTACTGCTCCAGCATTCGACAGGTATTGATCGGAAAAACCACGGAAAACTACCGATTAGAGCAGCCGGTCGCTAAAATTCTCCCCCACACAGCGTCTGAATTCGACCTAGCTGATAAGCAGGTGTCGAAAATTCTGCCACCGTCAGGAGTCAAACCTATAATTTCCCTGTCAGAGGGACTGCAGTGACATCCGTCAGCCATCTCTCCCAGATTCAAGAATTGGTGGATTATTTCATCCAAATTCATTTCTGAAATTGTGATAATTACGTATTCATCGATAACTATTTTCGGGGTAAGACCTCTGCGTCAGAGAAGATTATCTAATCCCTGAACTATAAGATATACGTGGAATTTGAAGAATTATTACGTTTTCCATTGATAATCGACTTCTAGCGTCTGGTGCGGGGGAACTCCATCCAATAGCAGTGCAGATATCAGACTCTGATAGTAATTTCGATGAGTCCAATGGCACCAACTTTATGTTCTCCGCAAGAGTCACAGGGAAAGATAGCTGAAAAAATTAATGATCTTCAATACACAGGATTTTTCATATATTGTGATTACTCAACTTAGCACTTCCAATCAGAGCTGTGATTGATGACTTTTTAAATCCTGATATAAACCTAGTTTTTCAACAGACGGTAAGCTATATTTTTAAACAAACATCATATTATTTCATTCTTGGCATTCTACGTTAAGGACTTAGGTAGCAAAGAGAAAGTATGTTAAGCTGCGGGTAAAACATGCGATTTTCGGCGGAGAAACTCATATTGATAGGTACAATTTTTAAAAAAAGTATCGAATTTAAGTTTGTGTATCTCCTGGAAATTTTCAATATTAATTTGCAGTTTGGATATTATTCTTTACATTCGGAGACTTCGGTACAAACCGGAGGAGAGCAACTTTATTCTAAAACATTAATACATTATAAAAGTTTTATTACTGACTGGGATTATACTTACATCCCACTATTATTTTCCTTACCTCTATTATTCTTACGATAGTGTTTCAGTAAGTAAACTGTGGGAACTCCTGACAAAAGTAAAGGTAAATACTACCTTGATAAATATAATAGTGAGTGTCTATGAAATCAGTATGAGTCATTTTAACATAAGAAATCAAATATCAGAAGGTTTGTGGATGAGCAATATTGGTGAAATACGACATCCTTTTCTGACACCTTTATTTAGAATTTTTATTTGTGAAACTCTAACGCACGATTTCTCAACCTTTTTTCTTCCCTTTTAAATGAAACATGCTTCCTCAATCCCCTTTGAATTTTTATGTAATATACAGCATTCAAAATTATAAGAAAAATAATTGGACATAAACGATTTTGCAACGACTACGTAGACGAATAATATGTACGTAATAATAGTACGTATAATATGAATAAAAGTTGTGAAAAATATAATTCTAGTTTTTGTTATCTATAGGATCTTGATTACATATCAGTTGTCGGTGCATACTAGACTATCAACCCCTTGATCATATATCCCCCTTAAAATTCCATCGAACTCCTGGGAGTCGATACCGAACACCTCGGAAATGAGAAGACATATTCTTTTTGCTGACGACCGGGTCACGTTCGCAGAAGATCAAGCTGACATATAATATGTTAATGAAATTGGGAGAAATTCAAAATATTTCAAGGACTTCAAGTACAAAAAAGGAAACGAAGTTGTAAAATCTGTAAATGATATAGAAACAGAAACCGACCCATTGCGAGTAGTAAACGAATTTAAGTGCAGAGGACTTGGAGGGACTCTTAGTGCAGATGGATCTAATGACAGAAAACTGAAGAGATGATAGAAACTGACAGAGATTACTGAAAACGTAAGCAAGGGTGGGGTAATTACTTATAGACTTCATAATATTTTATGGTACAAGAATATTAGAAAGAAAATCAAAAGACAAACATACAAGATAATCGTTACGTCATAATCAGAAATTTGGGTTAAAAAGGATGCAATAAACTCTCGGTTAAATGCGATGGAAACGACTTTTTGGAGACGATGTGTTCAATACTTCCTGATTGATAGAATACCTAACGAAAATATTAGAGAGTTAATGCAAGTAGAGAGACAATGGATCGAAAATGTAGAATTGAAAAACCTAAATAGTGCATCCATAAAGTAAGTTTTACTATTGTGTGAAATAAAAGACCGCATAGTTGATGTTTCCCGTTTCCGTGAAACAAAACAACACTGTTGCAGTTTTCCGCGCCGTCTGTGGACAAGTAATGTCATGAAGCAGATCAGTAAGCATGCCAACGCAGTAAGCACGTAACTAAGAGCTAACGATGAATTTTGACCGGGGAGATGTGCTGTGCATTAATGAATGGACCGAACCTCGCAGACGGCAGGAGAAGGAATAAACGCTGCCGTTTCGGGCCACTGCTGCTGCGCTACTGACTCGCGGTGGGACCTGTCCTGCCAACACATGACTGATACGTCAAAGATCAGTTATGCATGCGCAACTTCCCTACCTAAATATGCGTACTTTCAAAGCAAAAAAGGAAACTTACTTTCTGGATGCGCCTCATAAAATGGTATGGATATCTAATGAGAATGCTTGCTAACAGAATACCAATAACAGAAAACGAGACACAAAGTATTAATATTTCACATTGTGTGATGGAATTTTAAATATATTTGAATTCACTTACATTTTTTATGGTTATATTGTTATACTCAAAAGAAATTAAATATTTTTGCCTTGAAAACTTACTATTTATGTGAACACGAAAGGTCGTCATCGCAGTACCCCATATTCGCTTTAGCAAATGCATTGTGGTTTTACCGTAATTTTTATTGAGGTTCCAAATCTTCTTATAATAAAAATTGAACAATAACGCAACAATGTCATTACCTTCAGAAGACAAAGATCATACGCCCTTGAGAATCTACCGGAATCCCAGTGAGGAAAAATGTATACCACTCCTCTCTTCTCTGCATCTTCAGGTAAATATTTTGAAGAAAAGAAACTTGTACCAATTAACACTGTTAACTCTCCAATGCCGCATTTGACAACACTGCGTTGATGAACAATAAAAAAGAACATCAATTAGGAATTGTAATTGACATCCGAAAATTATTTAAACTGCAAAATACTTTCCTCAGATAAGTCAACGATCCAAAAAATTATTATATATAATACAGCATTTTACTTCTTGTACTTCTTGTTGTATAGTCTACTTTTACTTCCTGTTGTATAGTCAGAATTGATGTTTTGTGGGTCCTTAATACGGAAAATTCGATTAACGGTAAAATGTCTGCCTGTTTGTCTGTGTAAACCGAAATTTTAATTTTGGGAGATACTTTACATTAAGCCCCTGGGACATTTTCAAATTTTCAAAGAAATTGTACCAATTTTGATGTATTAAATGTTGTCGTCTGATTGCATAAAAAACTATTACGGGAATAGTGCAGGTCTAATTTTCGTTGTAATCTCTGATTTTGCGAATATTACGAAAGTTTTCTTTTTTCTGCGTCTTCCTACAACTACAATTAAAACGATAAAATTATATGATACATCTACTGTAGCAGTTATGTATGTATTAGTTACGTAAATGTTATATATTCATGTTCATTTCATTTGTGACGGTAAGAAATTACGAATTTCCAATAATGCAAGAAAGTATGTGCAGTTGTAGCACCTCGCAATTAACTTTTTTGGTCCATCAGTAGTTAAGTGCCACATTCTACGTCATAAATAACACCAAATTCAGGATTGCGAGTGATAATTGTACTTAAATCACATATACTTCGGTTTTCATAAGGTGGCGCGTCAGGGCCTGTCTTCGTGATGGAATATCTCACGTCATTTCGCGTCTTGCTCGGTTTTGCCGCTAGATGTCACTAGGCACACCGGTGATACGGTCACGATCATGCGACATCTAGAGGCACGTCTGAGAAAGACACAAAAAGCCATGAGATATTCCATCATGAAGACAGGCCATGGCGCTCATCATGATACAAAAAAAGTATTAGTACAGTCATGTCCAACTGCGACCGCGCGAGTTACTTGCCTGTCTGAAAAGCGCTGTGTTCCTCAGGGTACAAGGAAATTCTCCCGAATCGCTGTTATTTCCTCCCTCATTCCGGAAGTTTTACCAAAGTTTACAATAAAGGGTGGCTTCACACGAAAATGTATGTGGCTGACGTTTCTATTAAAAAATCGAAATTTAAATTTGTTCACATACATTACGAGTCATTTTATTTTTAAATTCTGCCTAGCATTAATGTTTTTTGCGAAGGAAATAGGAATATGTTTCAACGGTTCCGTTTTGATTTATGCTTCGTTAAATCAATATTATTGGTTGTAAATGACAATAATGAGAAATAAATTAACATGTCTTTCTGACGAGCTGTTTTAACAAAAAATTGTCCACGAAAGGCAAAATATGAACATACAAAATTATTAAATGGAATTAGTAGTTGCGAATATAAGTTTCACCTAAAACCTAGTGAGAGAAATCGCAACGCGACAATATTAGAGCAGAGGAAGTGATTTTCCAAATGGCTGACTGTATATATAGCAACAGTCTGGTGACATTCCAAGTTTATACGGATTTTCGGCTCATAAATTTCTCCACAGGTGGCCCCAGGACATCCCCTTTTGGAGAAAATCATCCGTGAAGACAGACCTTCCCTAAGCTTAAAACTTTATATGAGCCGTACGGCTGAATGATGTTTAAAGTCCATAGAATCATGAAGTAATAACGTGACACGTTATTGAAATGTTACAAAAATGTTAATTGTTGTTTGAAGAGAAAAGGGTAATATTTCATTGAATTACTATCAATTCAGTAAGTATAAAATTCCACAGAAGTTCCAGTAATCGTGATTTCTGAACAAAGTCACACGTCTACGTGCAACAGGTAAGATGATGTATGTTGTACGTAAAACCCATGGAAGATCTTAATAAAAAACAGAGCTAGCCAAACTATGAATAATTAGAGCAGTTGCTTTACGAGCATAGCAGGGAAAATTAAATTAGAAGAATCATACAAACGTTACAAATGGTTACTCAGCTTGGGGGGATGGTAAAATAAGTTAAAGATAGTTGACAAATTAGAAAAGTTTAATTACGTTACAAATTAGCATGCCAAACGCGGGGAAAGTTCATTTTTGGTTACAATATCTCATTTCATTCTTAATTATTCCTACGTAGTTTCCGTATTGTAGTGTGGTTATTTGCGCAGCGTTTGGCCAGATGAGCAAGTATGTATGAGAAAATAACAACTTCTGGTGTATCAAGGATACAACGTAACAATTTTAGAGATAAATGTTTCAATATTATTTACTTTTGAACCGTAAATTATTTATCAGAATTATGACGTATGAGACGATTATTACCAATATACCATTATTATAAAAATGTTTCTATAATTTGGATCCATAATACTTTTTAATAGACAAAAATTGCTCCTTTAATCATTTATACCAACAGCAAACTTACAGTAAGGTTTAATTTACATTCCGTTAACCACTCTTCAAGGTGAAAGTTTTACTCCAGTTTTAATCGCGTTTAGTTTATTGCGGTCTTACTGTACTTACTGGTTATCGTGTTCCTTCAAACAGCAATGCGCCGCTGTAAGAACTATATCGGTCCTGAACAACGATCCACCACAATAATGTTTATTTGCTTTCTGCACAGAGACCTAAGAAAAACAACAATCATCAAATCGGACAGCAAAAACCCACATGAACAATTGGAGAGGTAAAATATATTGAACTATATTGTCGAATTATTTTATTAATTAATTTAAATAAGAAAGATTACCCTAAGGTTATAAAAAATAGGATATAGAGGCATGTCTGTGTCCTAACCACACTCCTTACGCCATGGATGAGGGACTGGGCTACCTCTTGTCGGCCACGGCCCATATCGGGCTATCAAGACAAAGAACAGGTAGTATGATGAGATATTTGAATATTTGTAAAGCTAATCATTTGAAGATTAGTATTAAATATACTTCGAATCCCGTCGATGTAATGGATTTTTAAGAGAAAAATATTTTCCGTGGCTCTTTCTTTAAGGGATGCAAAGCTAGTAGTCACGAATCGCAATTTTACAGCATGGAAAAAATTAACTCATTCCGTCTGTCACTCATTCCGTCTGTCACTCATTCCGTCTGTCACTCATTCCGTCTGTCACTCATTCCGTCTCTGTCTCCCTTTCTCCGTGTTTTTGTGTTTCTGTCGCCGTGTTTTTGTGTTTCTGTCGCCGTGTTTTTGTGTTTCTGTCGCCGTGTTTTTGTGTTTCTGTCTCCGTTTTTGTGTTTCTTTCTCCGTTTTTGTGTTTCTTTCTCCGTTTTTGTGTTTCTGTCTCCGTTTTTGTGTTTCTGTCTCCGTTTTTGTGTTTCTCTCTCTCTCTCTCTCTCTCTCTCTCTCTCTCTCTCTTCTTTTTTCTCTTTCCCCCTGTGTCTGTGTCTCTTTCGATCCGCCTGTCCTGTCCTTCTCGGCCTCATCTTGCGTTACATGGCAACGCGTTGTAAGAATGATACCCAGGTGAAGCTCATTTGGAATGGAATCGAATTTAAATGAAGGGTTGTAGCGTCATCTAGTGGAGTTACAACAAAATGAACGGCGTGAGAACCTTTTCCATGAAAACACCGTAAATGTGCCAACTATTATGGAATGTTGTTATGGTTCATGGAACGAAGTTAAATGGTGACGGGTTCATCGTTCGATACTTATCAAGTTACTCGCTTTTCAATTATTTGTCATTAACAGGTATATGTTCTTACAGGCAGAAACTCTTCATTACAATAAGTAGTAGTGTTACAAAATGCTGCTAAAGTAAACTGATGTTGTACTATTTATTGATCTTAAATTGCTTGTTTTCGTCCCTTTTGTTTAAATCGTGTTTAAGATGTTTGCCTATAAGAAATATATAACACTCATCTTCTGATAAATAGTATTTTGTTTACTGCGGAAAAATATGAGTATTAAATGATGAATGTAAATTGTGAAAAATATATTACAAAAGAAAACTGAAGTGTAGCACAACAGTGAGTCAACTTCTAAATGAAACATTTTTCAAACGATAAAAATATTTATTTAGAATTGACCCAATATTTCTGCTGAAACCACGCAATCTAGGAGATAAAAATATTAAAGAATGAAAAATGAAATAAGCTAACATCCCAATCCTGCACACTGTAATATTAATACAAACATCAACTTCGACATTAAGAAAAACGATCCAAATTTGACACTCATATAAAAAAACAATATTACATTTTCTATGACCCGCTTGAAAATAATAGTCTTTTTTCTTTCCTTAAAGCAAGAATTCCATTATTCGTTATTTTTACAATTATTATTTAAGAAAATATTGCATTTTCTCAAAATCCATTATTGCATACATTTCCTCTTATTTTCTTCATTGTGACAATTAGCACGAAAGTCCAATACATTTCTAATGCATATGATGA